ACAGGTGTCCTGGTCCTTCAGGCTGCAAAATGGCAGTCTAATACATAATCTTTTTCATTCTAGAAGATGATTAAATAAAAAAACAAATTTATACACTTCTGTAGAAACTAGATCACAAAAGCATTAAGTTCACATACACACAACAAAAAGGAATACCAAACAGGAGTAACCCAAGAGCATGCAAATAAACAAGCAAAAGAAACATATAGTTTCAGACATCTACCAAGTAGTCAGCATACTGAGATAATGTATGAACTCCTTGTACATAATCTGCTGCAGCATCTTCACTTGTCTTGTTCTTTCCAAGGTTAACACCAAGAATACCAGGACCAGCTTTCCCTCCATGCTTGACTTCATCTCCTGCTGGAGATGAAGTACTAGATGTTTCCAACTTTCTCTTACCATGCTGAGCACCCAACCTTTTGGCGACGGCAACGATTCCTTCACTATTGAAGCCACACCTATTGATTAAAGCACTGCCACCAAAAAAAGGATTCTTACTTTTACAACTTCCACAATCAAGCACTTTGATCTTCTTTTTTTATTTTTGATAAGCATCAAGCTTTTTAATTATTAAAGATATAGAAATGAACTTCACTGGGAAAACCACAAGAAAAGTAAGAACAGTTCACGATCAGAAAACATAATAGATGTTAATCGTGAGTTGGTGACATAATCTGATTAGATATACATCTTACCCTTCATTTGGCAACCTAAATATACGTGGTTTTGGGTTGCCTTCCTGTGGAATGGGAGTTACTGAGCCAACCTCAACAAAACCAAAACCTAATCCAAGCAAGCCTTCAACGGCCTCAGCATTCTTGTCAAAACCTGCAGCAAGACCAACAGGATTTGAGAACCTTCTTCCCCATACATCAAGGCCCAATATAGGAAGATCAGGCCTCTTCTCCCTTGGAACCCATCCTCGGGCTGCAGCAGAGACTGCAAGTCTGTGAGCAACCTCCGGATCCAGAAATGCAAAGAATGGATTTACAAGCTTTGTTGCTGAGAATAGCCAGCCACTGCACGTATTTTGGAACATAAATGTTATTTTCACCCAAAACTTGTAATAGACAACAATAGATGCAGTTCAGCCAAGGGAAAGAAGGAAAACAGGAATTAGTTTGATCTACTTAAATAAGCCAACAAGCCAAAGGACATAATCTCACAAATCAAACTGCAAATACAAATATGCAGAAATCTTTTTGTACCTATAACATCCAAGTAACTCAAACCAACAAGCTCGTTGAAGGCACACCCAAATCCTTGTACTATTCTACCGTTGGCAAAAAAATCGATCTGATTGAAGAGCCAACAGAAAGCATAGGCAATCAACCAATTCCCTCTAATTTAAGGAAAACCCCAAAGAAATAAATATTCACTGATGATTATTTGGAAATGTATTGCATTGCTAAGCCTTCATAAGGAGAACGAAGAGCAGACAATGGAACACACCTCCTTTGGCACTTATGTGGGTGCTTTGAAGAAAGAACAACGAAACAGCTTTTGAACGAGCAGAAAGTAAATTTATACAGTTGAGGTCACTCTTTTCAGTAAATTTATTGGTCAATTTTCAAGGGTGACGCACAACCATAGTAGAGAACCATATAATGCAGGTTCTCTATCTTTTGTGTACGACTTGTATACAAAAGATTCACCCACATCAATAAATTCATTACATATCAGTAAATAAAATAAATACTCACAACTGAGCAATTTTATCACAGTGAAACCACTTCTAGGGTAGCACCCCCATGAAACAACAACCACACATATATTCTCATAAATTCAGTTTTAAGCCAACACACGTATGAAGCACCAACTAGCATCATTTTCTCTTTCCATCTCACGAGCAACTAAGGGAAGCATTTTTATGAATTTTATAGGTCGTTTCAACTTACTTGGGAGTTGGGACTGAGGTATGGCTTCTTTGTATGGGGATTGGAGAACAAGATATAGACCAGATCCCTCAACATTTGCTGAACCATCCACATCTAATGTCTACTAAGAGTGTTTCGTCCAGTAAAATAATGTAAAAATCATCTCCAACCCCAGCCACACCCCTCTAGAAAAGCAAGAAGTTAAGAAGTCTTAACCCAAAAAAAATAAATGCTGGCAGCTTTATTATCTCTCTCCTCCTTTCCTGAGGACACATTATTGAGTTGATAAGCCAAAAATTATCTCTGAACTGGAATCCTACTACTGTTGGCCTTGGTTGAGTCTCATAACTAGATATGCTGAAGTCCAAAGAAGAACAGTAAGCTTCATGCATCCTCACAAATATCATAATCCAAATCAGAAGAATGCCTTCAGATGATAAGTTGCAGGTACCTCTTTCTTTCTCTTCTTGTGTGTGCCTGTGTGTGTATATTCAATAAATGTGCCCAAAAAAATTACACCACATTACCATTTAATTTTCTTTGTTTGGTTCACAACAGGATTCATGAAAAGAAATCTATACAGAACACGTGCATTTATTTGTCTCTCAACTCTTCTACAGCCAATGCTGTAAAAGTAAATATCTCAAAGATATAAATTCAGTACCAGAAGGTGGCCTCATCAACTGTACTTGCATAAGCTCCCCCAGCTATTAGTAGACCAATTGTGGCTCCTGTAAGCAACCTTCCCTACAGTTTTAACCAAGATACTGAAGTGAAATACAAGAAGAATGCAGAAGAAATTACTAACCCTAGTAAAAGCATAAGTAAATTTAAATACAGCTCCTGCACTCATAGGCGATTATCATATGCCACATTCTAAACCTCAGGCCATCAAAATTAAAATTGGGGAAATTTCTGGATGGAACTTCCAATATCCTCGAGAAAAAGGTAAACGCTTTTTTAATAAATGTGTTACTTCATTTACTTGGAATGGCTAAGCTAATCAAATCCATTGATGAATTCATGAGAATGTTTCAGGAAAGAAAAAAAAAGGAAATAAGAAGAAACGCTCAAAAATGATTCAGTATCCCCAACTTGAATTAATCTAAAGAAAAATTAAATACTTCTTCATGTCCCATTTTTATGCCATTGGAAGTTACTTCTTTTTCTCTACTGCATGATTTATCCTAGTGAGTCCAAAATCTTGTGCCAACATCCTTTTTTTATGACAAGTTACTCAAAATCCAACCATGTACCAATCAAATACAAACTTTGGCAATTTGTATCAACTCTATTTCAACCATAAAGATTCTCTATATAACTTTTTTATAACTATGATATCCGGGACAGCTTGCACGCACATTGACTAATTCCACGGGTTACCTGCTACCTCCTACCAATACATGTACCCGCAAACTTTGTCCTATACTTCTCAGCAAGAAAATTACACTATAATTAAACTAGTAGTCTAAGAAAATAAAGATTCTCTATAGAACTATTTTTATAACTGTAGTATCCGCCTATCCGGGATAGCTTGCACCCAGTGGCGGAGCTAGCAATTTCATCAAGGGTGTTCAAGAATTTTTTTTTTAATAAGTGAGTTGAATGTTATTTACTTAACCTAATGATTCTACCATGAACGATCTCAACATTTGTCAATATCAAATATAAACAATCGAGTTTTTCTTCTTCTTTTTGATGCATTGATTTTATATGATAAAAATATATGATTATTGTTTTTAAAGTGAAATATTGATAGAACAAATGCGTCTAGCTTTACGAAACATAAATCACCCTAGTAGAAAAAAAAATTCTTAAAAAAGAAGAAGAAGATAAAGCGCATATATTGATTTTAGCCTTGAGTTTAAAGTTGTTAACATATATAAACACAAATAATGTAAAATGGTGGCTTTTTTGTTTTCACCATTCGAAAGTGCATTATATCCTAGATAAAAATTAGAAATACATGATATCTAAATATTCAAAATTAAAATAATGTATCCATATATGTTATTCTATAACATTAAAATTGTAATATTAATAATTAAGAAACTTGAGGAACATAATAATGGTGTGTGAGGTTGTGTTCTGCTCTCAAAATAAAACCAAAATAGTTGTGCGCTCACGAGATTCAAACTTGCGCACCTCGGGTGGAAATGAACATGCTTAACCACTGTGCCACGGAAGAACTTATGTTAAGGTTGTTCAACATTAATTATTTATCCCTTAAATTCAGAATTTAACCTCTCTATACGGTGTAATTTTCCGGCGAAGGGTGGTCAGCTGACCACCCTTGGATGGCTGTAGCTCCGCCACTGCTTGCACCCACCTCGACTAATTCCTACCTCATACCAATACAGGTACCAAGTAACTCTATCATATACTTCTCACCAAGGTAAAACCTCTATTATTAAAGTAGTACTCTTAAGTTAACAAAACTAAAGATACAAAACTATAAAACCAAATAGAAAAAACATAAGAAAGGAAGTACCTTTTTTGAAGAATGAGGAACCTTAGGTAGTGGAGGAGTTGGAGGAACATTAGCTGAAGAAGTGCAATAATGTCTAGGAGGAGCAGAGCTTGGTTTTATTAGCTTGCGATACAAGCTTTCTCTAATCAATGCAAATCCAACCTTTTGTTTCATTTTCTTTAACAAATTGAAAAAACCAAATCTTTAATAACCAAACACTTCAAACTTTACAACCCCAAATGCTCAAAAAAATTCAAGAAGATTTGTAGAGATACAGCCAACTGATGACAATATGATTCAAATGACTGAAAAGGGTATCTGGGGTAGCAGAGTATGAGTGAAAATGGGTGTGTGGGAGGTGGGGTTGGGGGTAGGGTAAAGGTTTGTTCTTGAAAAGGAAGATGAGAGGTTTTAGCACAGACGAAAGGGGGAAGAGAAAAACCCTTTTCTTGATTTTATTAGGCTTTGGTATATATGCCTTTTTCGAAAAGTTATAAAAAAAATTATGCTTTAATTTCTTTTACACTTTTTTTAAAAAAAAAAAACATTGTTGTAATTGACTTCTTAAATTAAAAGTTTTTAAAATGTGATAGGTACTTTTGAGGGTATTAGAATTTTGTGTGACCTAATATAGGTTAAGATTCGATTCACATATATTAATGTTTATATTAAGATAGATTGTTTATGTCATATTTCTTGAATCTTGTATGAATGCGGGATGCGGGATACTTTGTTGGGTTGTCCTTCTTTTAGAATTTGTGTGATGCACAAATAATATTTGGATGATTTAGTTATATCAAATTATAATTTTCTTGTTTGAACATTTTAAATTTGATTGATTTTATAAAATCTCAATTGTCATATTGTTTCTCTATACAATATTTATCGGACAATAAGAAAGATTGCTATTAAACCGAACAAATTATATGATTATCGAATAACTATTTGCAGAATTTCAAAATATCAAATTCAAGTTGCTTATTGTTATAGAACTTATTCACTCTTTTATTTTCATAATAAATGGAGTGATATTCTCAATTTTGTCACAAATTGAAGGCCAAAAATAAAGATTTTTTATGTTTGTAAATAGTCTCTTGTTTTTGGATAATTGTGGTGTTCAAGTTCGTTTGCGCGCACTTCGATTAATTTCACGATATGTCACATTCCGTCAGCGTTAAGTATTAGTTAACTCTATCCATTATAGCTTAAAGACAAATTGAAGATAAATCACATGATATTTTTCTTTCATTTGTTTGATTATTTTTTTTCTTGATTTACTAATCTCTTTATTTTACAAAGATAGCTTCTGAAACATCTTCTTTGAACATAAGACTATCTACCCATTGTCAAAGGTTTTTCTTCGAAATTATCTGAACAGGTCAATCCTCCCATTTCGTTTGTTTTAGCAACTTATCCTAAAGTCTCCTCGCTAAAAGCTTCCGGCCGACGACAAAGGAAGCAACTCGTCTGCTATGGCTGAACGACTTTTTTCTTTCACAATAAGACCTGAACGATTATCCCTATCTTCAGTAACTTACGAATTCGGACAAAGAAAATACAGTTTCATATGTGAGTTTTCTCCTTTAAGATTAATTAATTATTGTAAAACATAAGGTATGGTTTTTCCTAGAGAAACAAAAATGAGATATCTTCTTGTCCTACAAGCTTATGTTGTTTTTAAAGTGTCCAATAAATAAGATGAGAATCGTAATTAATTTTTTTCCTAGCAATCAAAACAAATTATGAAGTTGATATGATATTATATTTTAAAGTAATGCAATGAAATGTTTTACTCGAAAAAAAATATGATATGAACTTTTTTCTATACCACAAGATGGCTTCAAAAATATTTTAGAGATGCCAATAAATAAGAACATAAGGACAATAACAACTCCATTTGTTTCAATTTATTTATCTAATTTTGACTTAAATAATTTTAAAAAGCATAAAAGACTTTTATTTCCTATGTTCTTAAATTGAAGACATATATAAAATATATCGAAATGTCTTTTAATCTTGTGGTTTTAAATGCCACTTAAAGAGACCAAAAAAAGAAAAAAGATATTTTTTTAAATAGACTAAAAAGAAGAGTAAAACAAAAACGGAGACCATTATACTTCCCCAGGAAAAGGAATTTCATGGTATTTGTCACAACTCACAAGGATTGCAGAGACATATTTGTCAAAAGTTTAGACTACCACTCTGCAACTGGAGTAATTTACAACATATTACCATGAAAGTATCTTCAAGATCACTTTTATAACAACAATATTCAAAATCTAGACAATAAGCTGGTGGAAGGTAGTATAGGTATCCGGTAGAATAGTCAAGGTACGGGCAAGCTGACCCAGACATCACTGTTATCAAAACGAAAACTGCCGATGAAGAACAGGCTGATACATTAGAAGCATCAAATGGTGTAGATGTTTGCTGCCAAAATATTAGAATGTAATGTTTCCTCCATCACTATATAGCTGCTGATAAATAGGAAGCTATATATGACTGACCCCTGGCTCGGAAAAAAGACCTACAATCACATCATAGCCTGGATGAAAGAGCAAAGAAAATTAAGCTTCAGATTTGCAGAGATGCCAAAGAATCATATAATAAGCCCGAAATCATATAATGACTTGTGAAATTGCAAGATATACAGGTGAGAAAGTAAAAGGTTCATTTATTGTTAGTATGATAAATTAAAAGATACCAATGCATCTCATCGATCTAGTCGTTATCTTTAGAGTGATGCTCCCACAATGTACCAAGATAAACTACCATGTTAACGACATCCAAGATAGAGTGGTAAGAGGACTCTGGGGAAACCTGGTGCATGATTGAGAACGTAAAAAATAATGGATCAAGAATTAAAGAAGATACTAAAAAGGGAGAATCACAGACATCTAGATTTAAATGTGTCCCACGCAAACTGTACTCAGATGTTGGAAGAACTTGTATCAAGGGGATGCTAGATCTGCACTTTCTGATATTGGTAAAACAAGTCAAAATGGAGAGACCCTGCAGGAGACGAGTCATGTTTTGGGATTTGGTGGTCAATTGCAACAAGCTAATAACCTGAGATTTGTGAAGTACACCCAATCGGGGATACGCAGGAAGTAGAACCATGATGTGTTGTAACAATTATCTTCATAGTATCTTATACTAGTTATGATGGGCTTCTAAACTTTCAAACACTTGAGACTAAACTTCTTACAGCTTGTATAATTTAACAAATGCCCAAAAAAATTAAGCCATTCATACCTCTTTGGAAATTTATTTTGAAGTAGCAAAAAGGTTTAAATTTGACCCTATACTACCTGAAATTACTCGATTTTGCACTCCGCCATACTCTTGGCCCATTCATAACCTTATCATTGTCTCATTGTTGCCCATGCCATCAACAAAGTTCCAGCGTGGAGTGGGTTGACTCCACGTATCAAAATTCTTTCGAGGAAACAGGCCCAAATTCACGCTTCAACTTTTGACTATGGTTTAAAATTACATACTCCAAATACTAACAAGTATCAGTAAGTCGGGACAAGATGGTAAAGGGTAAAACTTACCTCTAGTTGGTTAAGGTTTCATGATGCAAAACTAAAATTCTAACTAATCCCCAGAAAAGGGATGAGTTTAAAGACTAGCAAAGCCATAAGGAACTGAAATACTTCTATAACCAATATATTTATAAAGCTTAGAGAAAAAGGTGAAAATAAGATGCATACCATTGGATAATGGAGCCAAAAAGGAAATGCTGCATGATAGGAACCTTCTGCAGAACTTCAATCTTGTACATCTTAAGTAAGCCACTGTTTACCTTGTTCCAATTGGGTACACCACTAATGTCATCTAACATGGGCGAGTGCTCTGCAAACACTCCCTTCTTCACCTTCATTATGAACACAATACATGAGAGATAAAGATATTCATTTGCAAAGTTCTCCAAGATATCTTTGTTATGAATAGATTTTGGTTTCATGTACTTGTGATCAATCAACTGAGACGACCCAAATATAAAAGGTAAGAAGTGGTAGTCATCTAGTCCCCAAACCCCATGGGACCCAGCAGGCTCTAGGCAATAGGTTACTTGCAACTTCCTCATCAAATCCAAGTAGTTGACAAAAACCCTTGACACCAGAGCTTGATAGTCCTCTTCTTTCACAACTCCTAATCTTGCTAAACAATACAACCATGCTGCAAAATTTGTCTCATGTCCGGTACCTATATAACAGACGTGATTAGTTCTAGGAATTAATATTAATTTGTTCTAGGAAGGCCAGTTATAGAAAGCCAACAGTCATGTGCACTTAAAGGTTCTAAAGGGATAGTTAAAACGTATAAAATAGTTCTATAGCATAATCCAGCAAAGTAAGAGCTCAAATCAAAGGAGCAGAAAATTCCTTAAAGTAGATTGAAAAGTACAGTCATTTTCATGTAACTTTTTATATCATTGGTGTATCAAGAAAAGGAATCAGATGCTGAAGATAGGCTACTCTGTTGTTCTCCATCAAAACTGAATTTAAATCAGCACAAGAAGAAAACAAATGTTGTCATGCTCAATCTCTAAACATAAGCACAAAATGCAAATGTGCCTATGAACAGGGGCAGACACACTAGTTTTTTCCAGAGGGGGAAAAAGCTTTAGAAATGATTTATTTTTTACCCTCTTAGCATTATTAAAACTTATTACATATTTGTTGATGCATCTTTACATCCACCAACACTATCTCATAGGAAGATGAGGTGAACACTGTGAAATGATTGCTAAGGGCAGACATATCAACAATTCAACTGAGATATTTATAGCAACATAATATTCAACACTTCATGTATTATGATTCTTTTAATAACTATAGTATTATGATAATTATATAACACATGTTTTGTTTCTTATGAAGTAAATTTTATTAAACTGGTTGAACTCCCGTATACAGGATTGTTATATTACACACCATTATACAATCCCACAAGAAAAAAGCTGCGGCAGAGCATCAGTCTGAGATGAATGTATCATATATTACTATCATCTATGTTGCTCGGACTCTTCAAAATGTCAACGGTTGCGTGTCGGATTTGCCAAAAGTAGTGTATTTTTGGAGAATCCGACACGGGTGCGGCATCAAAAGTGAAGAGTCGGTGCAACTTAGACTAACATTAACATTTTATGTTAGAACCACATCTTAGCATTAATTACATTTCCTCCAACTAGTACACAACTGAACTCATTTCTCAACTCTGGAGCAGTAATAGTAGTACTCAACCATAATCAAGTACTCATTCTCCAATCGTTTTACAAGAAAAGTTTCCGCAACTCTAATTACTCTAAGAAAAACAACAAAACTTCAACAACTTAACGTCAGTTAATCGCACATAGTTAACACTGCCTATGTGACCTTCTGCAGAGGATTTTCATAGCTGAGCTCAACTAATTCGCGATTGAGGCTAATTGATTGATAACAGCACAATAA